CCCACCTCAACCTCCTAAGTAGCTGAGACTACAGTGGCATGCCCCTATGCTTGGCTAATTTTTGAAATTTTTTTTCTGTAGAGACAGGTGTCTTGTTATGTTGTCAGAGCTGGTCTCAAACTCCTGGGCTTAAGCAATCATCCACCTCAGCCTGTATGTGGCTGGGATTACAGGCATGAACCACCCCACCCAGCATCTTATTTACATATTTTTCTCGGCACATGAGGCTCATAAAACTTGATGAGCTGACCACACTAATCAATATTGTTACTTTGTTGTCTGTCCATCTCTCTGGGATGATCTTGCTTCAAGCTTTTATTGGGTAATTAAGTCAAGTAGCTCCCCCTTGGGGGCATCTCCATTGCTCTCAGGTTTTTATATTCCTTTGTTCACACACTGAACAAACACTCATCACCCACCAAGTGTTATGGGAAGCTTGGTGGACACAGAGTATGGCCCATCTCTGCCCTGGAGGAATTTCCAGCCTTCAGGGGAGGTTTCTGAAGAGACTTCTATGGGCAAAGCTCAGTGGTAGGCTATTGTAAGAGGAGGAGGAGAACCAGATTTGCCCTAAGAGAATCCCCTTCCCTGAGCAGAAGTGGATGTGTCTAGGGTGGGGTGGGGGCTGGAAGCAGCCAACCTTGAGTATCCTGATGAGGACATAGTGGGTCTGCGGCGCTGCTTCTAATAACCTTGCTACGGTTAGTGTGGGACTCTGTCTCAGAGCCTGGCAGCCTGCAGCTCGGAAGGAGGACTTTAAATGGGAGAAGGTGCTGGAAAATATGGTAATACATAAAGAAGTAAGCTAAATTTATCCCCTCTCTCAGCACCCAACGATTGCTGTGCTTAACACTTAAATTTCTACCAGCATAGATTTGTTTAACCAGAAGATTAGTTGCTGGGAGAGAGAAAGGAGAGAGATAGACAGAGACACAGAGAAAGACAGAGACTTTGAAGACAGACAGAAACACACACACACACACACACACACACACACACACACACTCACACACCCCTGGAGAGAACTAGGAAGATGCAGAGATAACAGCATCCTTTGGTGTATGGCTTCAGCCAGCAGCAGGAGAACTAGACTCAGAGAAACAGACAACCTCCTGCCCTCTTCCTCCCAGGATACATGGCTGGCTAGAGCATTGCTAATTTCCAGACAGCACCATTTTCCGATGTGAGTACTTTGGAATGTCGACACTGTTTTCATTATCTTGTCCACTGCTTTGTTCCTGTCATCCACCCCCACCCGTGAATAGGTGAGAGTTGAGTAGAGGCATAATATAGTAAAGCCGCAATTAAAGTAAGCATTATAAGACTTTAAATATGTATGCCTTTGACCTAGCATTCTCACTTGTAGGAATTTATCCTAAGGAAAATAAGTATATGGACAAAGAAGCTAGCATGAGATTGTTCATTGCATCATTATTTAGAGAAACAATTAAACAAATGAAATAGCCAACCACTCTGGGTTTCCCGATCAATAAATTCTAGTAAAACCTTACAACAGCTTTCCATATTGCTTTTAAAATTAGCTTATGGGCTGGATGCGGTGGTTTGTGCCTGTAAGTAATCCCAGCACTTTGGAAGACCAAAGTGGGAGAATTGCTTGGGACCAGGAGTTCAAGACCAGCCTGGGCAACATAACGAGATCCTATTACAGGTATTGATCGACTTACCACCTATGCAACTTATGACCATTTGACCTTACGACCACAATCGCTAGCCACAACTGCTCTGCGTCTGGCAGCGCAAACGTTGCCCAGCTGGGCGTACGACAGTGTGGACCAGCTTCCGGCAGCACTACCATCTCTGCGTGCACCATTTCAACTGTACGTATAGCCCACTCAATTTACGACCAAATCGTGTTACAACCGGTCCACGGTCCCAACCGTGGTCGTAAGTCGAGCACTAGCACATAACGAGATCCTATTATTACAAAAATAAAAATAATTAGCTGGGTGTGGTGGCACATGCCTGTAGTTCCACCTAAGGCAAGAGGATTGCTTGAGCCAGGCGTTCCAGGGTGCAGTGAGCTATGATGGTAACACTGCACTCCAGCCTGGGTGACAGAACAAAACTCTACGTGAAAAAACAGATTAGATTATAAATGGATATTTGTTGACCTGGAAAAGCATTCACAATATATTAGGTGAAAGAAGAAAGTTACAGCTGGGCATGGTGGCTCACACCTGGAATCCCTACACTTAGGGAGGCCAAGGTGGGCAAATCATGAGGTCAGGAGATTGAGAACATCCTGGCTAACACCGTGAAACCCCAAATATAAAAAAAAAAAAAAAAAAAAAAAAAAAAAAATTAGCCAGGAGTGGTGGCACCAGCCTGTAGTCCCAGCTTGGGACTGAGGCAGGAGAATCGCTTGAACTGGGGAGGCGGAGGTGGTGATGAGCTGAGATCGAGCCACTGCATTCCAGCCTGGGAGCCAGACTCCGTCTCAAAAAAAAAAAAAAAGAAAAGAAACAAGTTACAAATAGTTTATACTGTATGACCCCTAATTGTGAATAAAAATAAAATATATAGTTTAAGAAGACAGACCAAATGTTTTTCTCTAGGAGGAGGGACTCCAAGACATTTTAATTTTTTTCTTTCTGATTATCTGCATTTTTAAAAGTTTTTTTTACAATGAGCATGTCTGATTTTTTGTGATAAGAACAAATTTCCAGCCGGTGTGGTGGCTTATACCTGTAATCCCGACACTTTGGGAGGCCGAGGTGAGTGGATCACCTGAGCTCAAGAGTTCAAGACCAGCCTGACCAACATAGTGAAACCCCATCTCTACTAAAAAAAAAAAAAAAAAAAAAAATTAGCTGGGTGTGGTGGTGCATGTCTGTAATCCCAGCTACTTGGGCAGCTGAGGCAGAAGAATCGCTTGAACTCAGGATGGGGAGGTGTGGTGAGCTGCACTGCACACCAGCATGGGCAACAAGAGTGAAACTCCATCTCAAAAAAAAAAAAGAACAAATTTCCTTGCTTCCCTCCCAGGAGTGGCTTCTGCTGGGAGATCAGGCGTTCCTGGCTCCCAGGCATCGTGAGAAGAGCCATTAACCCTTGCCAGCTGTTAAGCTGCTCATTAAGAATTCCCTGTCCCGGCTTGACTCCCCATCCCAACTGGTTTTATGGGCAAGACCTCAGTGACCCAACACCTTGGTATCCAAATGAGCAGTTGCTGCATCACCTGAGAGTGGGTTAGCCCCTGCCCTCCCTTGAGGGCAAACACTGTTTATCACTGTTGGCACATGGTAAGGCTAGCCTCGCTAAAACTGTAGGGCCTTTCCACCTCCCAGGAGCACCCTCCCCTGTAGGAGGGTGACAGCTATGATGCTTCATGGCTCGGCGGTCCCGACTCCACAGAGGCAGGTATGATTCTGAAGGCTGGCAAGAAAAGGCTGTCCCCATGGCAACCCGGGCTTGCTCAGCCTTTTCATTCCTGAGATCAGTCCAACCCCCAGGGAATGAAGGTGGGGTTTGGAGTCAGAAAAATCACTGCCTGGCTGTCTGACCTCAGGTGAGACACTTAGCTTTTGTCTGTCAGTTTCTGCATCTGTAAAATGGTGCTGAAGCTTCTTACTCACCTCCAGGACTGGAGTGGAATGATCTGTAAATTGTAAAACACAAGAGGAGTAAGGCATCCCTAATTTTGGCTTGTCCCCAAATTGCCATGTGACTTTGGGAAAATCACTTGACCTCTACGTGTCTCAGCTGCTCTATTTATAAATAGGCAAGTAAGGCACACTGGTTACTTCCCAGATGTACTGCAAGGTGCCTGTGAGAGGTACTTGTCCAGCCTCTGCCTGGTTACCTGTCGTGGCAGAAAACTCATGACCACACAGCTTCCCATGTCGCCATCGCTACATGACACTAACTATAAGAAAGTTCTTTCATACAGCATATTATAGTATATTTTACAATTAAATGTTTGTTTCAAAAAGTTAGCCATCCTTTTCAGAGCTGTTTTCCCTCCTGATTTTCCCAGGGGCTTGCACAGGGTAGAGATGAGCAGTGGTCAGCAAAAAGCAGGTGTGCGCTCAGCTCTTGGCTCAGTGTGTTAGAAGGAGCCCGGGCTCTGGGGTCACACATCCTAGGTTAAAATGTTACTTTATCCACTTGCCAACTGGCTGACACTGACCCTGGGAAAGTTATATTACCTATCTGAGCCTCAGTTTCCTGATCAGTAAAAGGAAGACAGAAATACCTACCTCCCATTATTGTCATGGGAATTAAGCCAGTTAGCACTTCTTACTAAGCTTACAACCCAGAGAGACTTACCTGGTGGAATTTTCGGGACTTGGGGTGGGGAAGGTTACATCCTCCCCTGCCACCCCTGAACAGCACATCTGCCCACCGAGCACATGGCACAGGGCAGTCTTACACACTCCATGTCTCAGGCCCGTCTCCCTCTCAGACCTGGACCAGGGCCATAAAGGAAAGATGATGCAATGGTTTCAAGATAAAGTTCACCTCCTCCTCGTGATTCACTAGCACCCCCTCCCTGCCCGCAGACTCAGTGGGCACTAAGCAAGTATCCCAGGGCGTCACTTGGGAACAACTTCCAACTGCACCAATGTTTTAATAGAAATCTCATACAGGACCCCAAAAATGTGGTCTGACAGTGGACTTCCAGGCAGAGTGACAAGAAGTTGGGGAAAGCTATTTGGGGTTGGGTGAAAGTGTTCCTTTAGCTATTGATATGAAGGTGTCTGTCATGCTGCATCTCCTGGACAAGGGTCAGTACACCTGGGTCCAGCTCCACCATCACCCAGCTCTGGGCTCTCTGGAGCCAGCGACTTCCTTCCGCAGAGTCTTGCTTTCCTCACGTGCGAGACAGCAGGCTGACTCCTCGGGTTTTCCCGGGTTCCAAATTCTAGGTTTCCCCATTTGTTGGATTCAGGGATGAGTTGCAGAAACCAGCAGAGACTCCCTTGGCCCCTGGCCACTGGGTGACGCCAACCGCCCCCTCTTCTCTGCTTCCTCCGCAGATGAGTACCTCAGAGTCCTCAATGTGGGTGTGGCCGAGGTGAAGAAATCCTTCCTGGGGCCCTTGTCCCCGTCCTGCAAGATGGTGCAGATGATGAGGCAGTTTCTGTACCGGGTCCTGCCTGAGGACTCCTACAAGGTCACCACGGGGAAGCTCCATGTGAGCCTCACCCGCTTCACGGACGGGGAGAGTGTTGTGGTTTCAGAGTTCACATCCAAGGAGGAGCTCATCGAGGCAAGGGGGCTGGGCCTGGAGGGAGGGCTGAGAGGGGGCGTGGGAGGGCTGCTCCTGCTCGCTCTCCACAGCCCAGCCCGCTGCCTCACCCGTCTGCCTCACTTCCCTAGTCCTTCCTTCATGCCCCCAGTGTGTCTCTGTGCGAGGTGCAGGATTAGATGAGATGGACACAGAAGCCCAGGACGAATCAGGCTTGACTGCCACCCTCAATGCTTCAGCCTTTGCACCTCTCCCGCCCGGCCCTCTGCGCTAAGCCTGGAACTTCCCAGAGGCCCAGGTGTGACCTGCAGAGGACGGAGGTCCCTTCAAAGCCTCCCAGGCTGCGCTGCCATGCATCCCCCCTGAATTACTCCCAGTTTGTGGGAATGATCAGGGGAGAGGGCACCCTATGTCCCCTTTCTGCCCCCTCTCTTCCAGTGGTTCTTGATAAGGGATTGAATTACCACCAAATCAGTTCTCACTTAGAAAAGTACACACTAACCCTGAGTGCACTGCTCTAAACTCATTAATATGAATTTTAGTTGTGAAGAATGATTGCTGGAGAGGGCTGCAGATAAGTCCCATTGTCTTTCAGGACAAGGGTTAAGCAGCGTGGCCTCCATCCCATATTTCCACTCTCCTTCTTTCCCCCACATACAGGGCCTTCCCCACCCCATCCTCATCCCATACACGCCTGGTAGTGACCCTGGGGATGAGAGATGACTAGGTGGTGGGCATGGACACCCCCTCCACCCCTCACGGCCCGCTGGGTTTTTCAGCAACCGGCTCTTCCAGATCCGCCTCCTCATGCCCACCCCCGTTCTGACTTCATCTCCCACAGCTGCCGTTTTCTCTCCCCGGTCCTCTCCCCAACCTTCCACTCCTACCATGCCAACCCTAGCAAACCACACACAAGCCAGGCCACTGGGCCTTCGCACCTGCCGCTCTCTCTGCCTGGGATCCCCTCTCCCTCCCACCCTACTTCACCTGCTGCTGAAACCCAGTCCCTCCTGCCAGGGAACCTCCCTTCATCCCCTCCCCACCCTGCCCGCACCCCTCCTGTGGAATCACGGTGCCCATGCTCATCTCCACCAAGCCCCTGTCACCCCATTGCTCTGTCACCCACTTGCTCACTCCCCCTCACAGGGCACTCCCAAGCGTGGACCTCTCAGCCTCCTTTGCTTCCAGGGCCTGGCCCAGGACTGACACATATTAATGGTGGTTGAATCCTACTGGATCTATGAAAGTTCAGCATCAGAAGGGACCCTGAAGCTGATGAGCCCCCCTTCCCACTTTAAAGTTGGGACGTCAGGGCCAGATGAACCAAGTAGCTTACCAAGGACCCAACTAGTGAGGGCCAGGCCAGGAATTGAACTTGAAGCTCCGCTTCCCAGGGGGCCACCTTCACCTAGGGTTTAAGGAGGTCCAGGCTGGCGGTGGGTGGGTCAGCGCCGACAGGTGAGCTGTGCCTGCTGCACCCCCCGCCCCCGCATCTCAGCCCTGTTCTCTCCCCGCAGGCCCTGTACTGCAGCTGCTTTGTCCCCGTGTACTGCGGCCTCATCCCCCCGACTTACCGAGGTGTGGTGAGTGCTCCGGCGTGGTGAGGGGTGAGCCAGGATCCAGGGGACCTCGGGTCCCTGTGACTCACACCTGGGGGAACCAGGGGTTGGTCTCAGAATGCAGTGGGGACATAGAATTGGAAAGTTACTCGCGTTTTTACTCAGAATTCACAATGTAGGTGCTTTCCGGGCCTTTAAGATGAGCTTCTGGGCAGGCTCCTTTCTGGACCCACGTACCCATTGCCAAGCCCAGCAAATCAAGGCTCCATAGGCTTGGCAGGTTTTCCCAGACTTGATAGAGCAGAGGAGATGCACCACAAAGCTCTGGGACCTGGACACTTGAATGATGAGGACCTTTTCGGAGGCCCTCTAGGACAGGGCCTTACAGACTTTACTGTGCCCATGAGTCACTTGGAGTCTCATCAAACGATGCAAGCTCTGATCCAGGCGGTCTGCAGCCGGGCCTGGGGGACTTCGGCCCTAATCAGCCTCAGGTGCTGCTCATTCTGCTGGTGGGCGGGCCACACTCTGAGTGGTGATGCTCTAGCTCATGCTCCCTCCTCATTTTATATGCAGAGAAAGTCAGGTCCAGAGACTAGGATTCAGGTAGTAGATGGAGCCTGGGTTGCACAGCAGCCAGCCCTGAGAGTTACAGCCTCAGTATTTGTTATCCTTCGTTCATAGGTGAGAAAACAGAAGCCCCGAAGGGAAGGGGCTCGTGGGTGAACACGTGGTGGCTTGGTCTGTGGCAGAGGAGCACGTCTCCTGCTTTACCCAGAGTATGGGCCCCTGCGCACAGAGCCCTGGGAACCCCAGTCTCAGCACCACTAAGGTAGTGGAGGCAGGATCAGTGCTGAGAAAGAGCACTGGGCTGGGAGTCCAGAAGCCAGTACAGACTCACCAAGTGACCAGGGGCACAGCATACACCCACCAGGACCTCTGTCTCCAGGCTTATCCTGAAGGGTCTTCTGGCCCTTCCTCGATGGGCCCTTGAAGCTGGTGCCATGTCCCATGGGCTGTTTCCATGTACTCCAAGTGGGACTGGGAACTCTGGCCCCAGGTGAGCATTTCTGACTCTGCCCCCACAGAGGTACATCGATGGGGGCTTCACAGGCATGCAGCCCTGTGCCTTCTGGACCGACTCCATCACCATCTCCACCTTCAGCGGCCAGCAGGACATCTGTCCCCGGGACTGCCCCGCCATCTTCCACGACTTCCGAATGTTCAACTGCTCCTTCCAGTTCTCCCTGGAGAACATCGCCAGGATGACCCACGCGTTGTTCCCCCCGGACCTGGTGGTGAGAGGCAGGAGGGGTCTGGGGAGTAGGGGAAGATACCCTGCTAGGACTAGGGGTGAGATCAGAGAGCCATTGGGGCCCGCTCAAGTTCTATCTGTGTCTCCTCCCCTCAAATGATCCCTTAAACTTCCTCCTAGACCTGCATCCTGGCCTTGCTGCTAACTGGCTGTGTGACCTTCAGCAAGTCCCTTAAGCTCTTGCAGCCTCAGTATTCTCCCCTGTAAAGCAAGATGATGTCGGAAGTGCTGATAGAAATGTTAACTGAACTCTTCCACTCGCAGTTCATGTACCAAAGCAAGGGTCGGCAAACTGCAGTCCACGGGCCAAATCCAGCCTCTGGCTTGTTCTTTACAGCCTGTGAGCTAAGAAAGGGTTTTCCATTTTTAGGGAGTTATGGGGGGGGGGAGAAGAAGAAGAAAAAAAAGAACATCAGGCAGAGACTGCATGTGGCCAGCAAAGCCCCAAATAAGTGTTTACTGTCAGCCCTTTACAGAAAAGGCTTGCGGGCAAGATCTCCTGTAATCCTCTAGCATCCTCTGTGATCAATAGTGTTACTGCCCCCATTTTATAGGTGAAGAAATTGAGGCTGTGAGTGGTGACAGCCACACAGCCAATAAGGGGCAGCACAGAGACCTGAACCCAGACTCCAAACTCTGCTCTTCGTATGCCCAAAGGCACCTCCTCTGGTTCTGCCATGAGCACCCACCACTTTCCTGCCCGGGGGAGGCTGAGGATCTGCCACAAATGGCGTCACTCATGAACGCAGCATCACTGGGATGCGTGATCAGGAATTGCTCCCCAACTCTTCTTAGCAGATAGTGAGGGATGAGGCACTGGATGTATATGTTTTGAAAAGTCCATCAAATGAAGTTCAAGAGCAATGGGAGCAGCTGCGCTGGGTCGGGGGGATTGTGGTTCCCTTCATCGCTGCAGCCTTAGTCATTCTCCTGGCGCTCCCGCCCCCAGATCCTGCACGATTACTACTATCGAGGGTACGAGGATGCAGTCTTGTACTTGAGGCGGCTGAGTAAGTACCCGCGGGGCCACAGGCAAGGGCATGCTGGAGGGTAAGGAAAGTTCAAACAGTAGAAGGGCTGAAGGGAGGGGCATTCCCCCCAAATTTGTGACCTGGAGAAACCCTTCACCTGGGAGAGCTGGAAATGGGGGTGGGGACCTAACAGGCTGTATGGCCCAGCCCAGACCTCTGGGGCTAGAAAGTAGGATCTCCATGTAAAGGGGGCTCTGGGGCTAACGAAGGGGACAGTGTCTAGGACAGTTGTACAGGTGTGTTTATGAATTTAAAAACTCTATTTAGGAAATCCAGGGTTCAGATCTTCCTGGAGAATTCCATTTTCATGTCATTTGATTCTCTTTCACTTGATTCTCTTTCCAGTAAAATCACCTTATTAATGTAGAACTGGTCATGACCAGTTTATATTTGCATAAGACTTTGAGTGACCTATCAATCAGCAAATCACAGAGAAGACCCCCTGCCCTCTGTAGGTTTGGAATGCTGGTCCTTCCGCCTATCTATTCTCTGTGTATTATCAGGGTAGAGGAAACAATTCCAACGACATGTATTTTATGTGCTAGCTCCATGGCAAACGTCATTGTTAAGAAAAATGAACAGAACTGGGTGTGGTAGCTCATGCCTGTAATCCCAGCACTTTAGGAGGCCAAGGCAGGAAGATCGCTTGAAACCAGGAATTTGAGACCAGCCTGGGTGACTGAGACTCCCATCTCCACAAGAAATTAAATAATTAGGGCTGGGCACAGTGGCTCAAGCCTGTAATCCCAGCACTTTGGGAGGCCGAGGTGGGTGGATCACAAGGTCAGGAGTTTGAGATCAGCATGGCCAATATGGCAAAACCTCGCCTCTACTGAAAATACAAAAAAAATCAGATAGGTGTAGTGGCGTGTGCTTTTAATCCCAGCTACTCAGGAGGCTGAGGCAGGAGAATCGCTTGAACCTGGGGGGCAGGGTTCGCAGTGAGCCAGGATTGCGCCACTGCACTCCAGCCTGGGCAACAGAGCGAGATTCTGTCTCAAAAACAAACAAACAAACAAACAATTAGCGCCTATAGCCCCAGCTACTTGAGATCGAGGCTGCAGTGAGCCTTGACTGCAACACTGTACTCCACTCTGGACGACACACTGAGACCCTGTCTCTAAAAAAAGAAATCAACACAAGCTTTGCCATATTTAGAATCAATTTTTTTTTTCAGTAAAAGGGATCACTAGATCAAAAGGTTTACCTAAGGTTACATCGGAAGATTTTTCCTCGTTGCCATGTGTCTTTATGACTGTCTTTTTTGTCAGTTGTGTAATATTCCATCATAGCTATACAGAAAATGTTGCTTGATCATTCCTTTGAGTCTCCAAATGTTGGTGATTATGAGTAATTCTGTGGTAAACTTTTTGTGTATGTACCTTTAAAACTACTCTGTGGGTGAGATTAAGGGGTTGGATGAGATTTTCTTCCTAGGAGGTGATCACTTATTTTTTCCCTTCTTCAAAATTCCTTCCTGCTTCCCAAGCTCCCCTTGTCCTGTCTCTATTTTCTCCTGGGTGCTTTCTCCCAACAAGGGCGGTGGAGAGGTGGACTGACAGGAGAGCAGGATGCAGAAAACCTGGGCTCAGGAGGCAAGCAGCTCTAGGCCCCCACCCCTCCACCGCAAGCTGTGTGACCCTCAGGATCATCACTTGCCCTCTCTAAGGCTTTCCTAATCTATTGAGAAAACGGGGGAGGTTAGATCCTAGCTCCAGACACCTACTAACTCTGTGATCTTGAGCAGGTAACTAATCTCCTGGGGCCTCAGTTTCCTCATCTGTAAAAGGGGCCTAATCATGGAACCTTATGGTTTTATTTTGAAGAATAAAGATCAAGCCCTTAGCACAATGCTCAGATAAATGGTGGCTCTCATGAGAACCTCAGAATGCTGTGTCCTAGCTAGGGTCAGTCCAGCCTACCGCTGGGTGAAACCTGATGGTGGCACTTCAGGAATCCGCCCCCAAAATTGAGGCAGGATATGGGTGGGGGCAGTTTTTTCAATGGCCCAAGTAGGAACAGAAACAACTCCTAAGGGAGAAATTGTCTCCTGCTGACTACCAGCTATTTTTGCTTCCTCTTCCAATTTGCCAGTGTATGGCACGGCTTTCTCAGCTCAAATTTCACCTCCACTACCTCAATCCTCTTGGATTTAGTGGGACTGGATTTTTCTCCCTGCATCAGACGTGAACAGGAACTACTGACATACAGTGAGAAATTGCAGTTGGTCTCCAGAGCCACACTCTTCTCCCCCCCTGCCATCTGGGAACAGAAAATGGGATTCCGCCCAGCCCCTGCCGGACTGCTTTCTGGGTGGGCGGTCACCTCCAGCAGGAAGCTGCACCCCAAAAGGTGTCACCCTCCACTCCTCAGCTCACATTCTCACAGCCTGTTTCTCCTCCCTCCCAAGGGCTCACATCACTTAATTATTCCTGCTGTCAGGCAAGCCACTCTCTCCACACTCGGCCCATCCTGGCAGCAGCCTTCTGCCAAGGGGAAGGGCAGTGCACGCTGGCGCGCTTGAAAATCCACATTCCCCACACAGATGTGTGAACGTGGGCGCTGAGTGAGGTTGGAGCTCAGAGGATGCCATGTCTAAAATATTCATCCGGCATCCAGGCATGCCGGGCCAAACCTCTCTTCCGCCTCCTCCCCCACTCCCTTCTTCCCTCTCACAGTTTGATAAGTCTCTCTCTCTCTCTCTCACACACACACACACCTGTGAAACCATCACCACAATCAAGATAGTGAATAATCCGCCATCCCCAAAATTTCCTCATGCCCTTTCATGATCCTTCCTACCCTCCCTCACCCCTACTATTCCCAAGCAACCCCGATCTGCTTTCTGCCATTATAGATTACTTTACTGTTTGTGAACTCCTTTTTAATATCTGAATTCTCTCACTCTGAATAATTATTCTGAGATGCATCCATGTTGTTACACATATAGTTTGTTCCTTTTTACGTTCCCTGCCACTGTCTTAATGGACCACAAAAGAGTTGACTATACCGCTGTATGCACACACCACAGCTCATTTACCCATTCGCCTGTTGGTTATTTCCAGATTTGGGCTGTTATGAATAAAGCTGCCGTGAACACTCATGCCTGAGTCTGGTGTGGACATATGCCTTCCTTTCTCTTGGGTAAATACCCAGGAATGGAATGACTGGATTGCATGGTGCATGCATGTTTAACATACATACACAAATATTTTAATTGTGGTTTAAAAAAAAACACATAACAAATGTTAAGCACACAGTTCAGTAGTCTTAACTATGTTTGTATTGCTGTGCGACAGATCTCTAGAGCTTTTTCATCTTGCAAAACTGAACCTCTAGATGCGTTGATCATCAACTCCCCCTTTTCTCCTCCTCCAGCCCCCCGGCCACCACCATTCCACTTTCTGTGTCGATGATTTTGACTACTCTAGTCCCCTCATGTAAATGGAATCATGCAGTATTTGTCTTTTTGTGACTGGCTTATTTCACTTAACATAAACGGCCTCAAGATTCATCCATGTTGTAGCAGGCGATGGGATTTTCTTCCTTTTTAAAGTTGAATATATTCCACATTTTCTTTATCCATCCATCTGACAAAGGACATACCTTCCCGCTTTTGTGGATAATGCTGCAGTGCCCATGGGTGTATGCGTGTCTCTTCCAGATCCTATTTCAATTGTTTTGGATAGATAACCGGAATATATGTTTGATTTTTAAATAAACTGCCAAATCATTTTCCAAAGCAGTGGTACCACGTTACATGCCCACCAGCAATGGATGAACATTTCAGTTCCTCCAAAACTTTTGGTCTTTTCAATTAACGCTCAGAATTTTAAATTTTAGCCCTTCTAACAGGTACGCGTCAGTAACTTGTGGTTTTAATCTACGTTCCCCTCATGACTAAAGATGCTGAGCATCTCTTCATCTGCCTGTTTGCCTTCCATGGATCTTCTCTGGCGAAGCATTCATTCCACTCTTTTGCACATTTCTCTCCTATACTTTTAATAAGCTTTTTTTTTTTAGGGTTAGTTTTAGATTTGTGGATAACTTGTGAAAACAACACAGGGTGTTTGTCTCACATTTGTTAGATGTTGCAGAATGGTATATATATAACATGGTACACAATCCAGTATATTTGTTATAATTCATGAGCCACTCTTGATATCTTATTAACTGAGAGCCATTGCTTATTCAGATTTTCTTAGTTTTTACCTAATTCTCTTTCCTGTTCCAGGACCCCGCACCCAGGGATCACATTACATTTAGTCGTCACGTCTCCTCAGGTTCCTCTTGCCTATAACAGTTTCTCAGACTCTTCTTATTCTTGATGACCTTGACAGAGTTGACTATTGGTCAGGTATTTTGTAGAACGTCCCTCCATTGGGGTTTGTCCGATGTTTTTCTTGTGATTGGGCTGGGGTTGTGTGTTCTGGGGAGCAGCCAACAGAGGTCAGGTGCCATTCTCATCATGTTACCTCAAGGGCACATGCTGCCAACATGACGTATCCCTGCTGATGTTGACAGTGACCGCCTGGCTGAGGTAGCCTCTGTCAGGTTTCTGCATTGTAAAGTACCGTCCCTCTATCCCTACTGTAGTTTTGGGAAGAAAGTCACTGTGTACAGCTCATACTTAAGGAGTGAAAAGTTCCACTCCACTTCCTAAAGGGCCAACCGTGTCTACATAAATTGTTTAGAGTTCTTCTGCAGGGAGCTTTGTCTCTTTTCCCTGATGTGCTTACTTATGTAATCGTGTGTTTATGGCAGGAGGGACTCTCAGATGGTTATGTTATACTTTGTGTTATTATTCAATAGCACTTTACTTTGTTCCTCAAATTGTTCCAGCTTTGGCCATTGGGAGCCCTTTCAATTGGTTCTTTTATGCATTTAAAAAATTGAATTGTTTGTGTTCTTATTTAAGCGCTGTTATATGGTCGAGATAAATGCCACCCCCCCAACCCTTTTGGAGACAGGATCACCCAAGCTGGAGTGTAGTGGTGCGATCATGGCTCACTGAAGCTTCAGCTTCCCAGGCTCAGGCAACCCTCTTGCCTTCTCAGTGAGTCTTACAGTCACAATGACTTCTCAGAACCTTACCTCCCCTGCCTAAAAGTCATGCTACAATCATACTTGCCATGAAAACCAAGGACCCTAGCTGCTGCCTGCAGCCCTGACGTAGTCTGGCCTCTGCCACCTTCTCAGCCCCTCCCCCAGTACAGTCCCCCCGCCCCACACTGACCTTGGGCCTCCAACACCTGGTGTGTCCTTAAACCTTGTGGCCTTTGTGCGTGCTGTTCCCTCTGCTGAAACACCCTCACCACCTCGCCGTGACCATCCTGCACCACGTACCCTCCAGACCTCTGCTCACGGTCACTCCCTCAGATGAGCTGCCTCTCTCACAGCACCTCACTCCTCTCTTCCTGCGCTTGCCTTAGTCAAACTCTAGATGATTTGGGTGGGTAACGCCTGCTCCCCTACACTACACTGTAAGTGCCAGGAACCATCAGTTTGTTTTCACTCACTATACATTCAAGTAAGTACAGAAAGACCTTGGAAAAGCACTGATCCTGTTTAGGAAAATAACTCAAGAAACCATTTCTGCAAAGGTTATGCTCCTGCCAGGGCTGAGTAACACCCCATGCTGTTGTTTCTCCTAGATGCTGTTTATCTTCATTCTCCCTCCAAGAGAGTGATTTTCCCCCGGGTGGAAGCGTACTGCCAGATACAACTCGCCCTTGGCAATGAGTGCCCTGAACACAGTCGACCAAGCCTTCAAGCACGGCGGGCCAGTCTGGAGAGAGCCACACAACCTCACACAGAGTGCGCTGCCAAAGCGGAGGGAAGGGGCAGCCATGGTCCGCCTGCGTCCTCACCTGTGCAGACACCTGAATCCACATGTGAACCACCTGTTTCACCACCAGTATCTCCATTTGAGCAGCCACCTGCACAGCCACTGGCCTCTTCAACACCACTTTCTTCAACTGGCACGCAACCTGTATCATTCCCAGCTGTGCACAAGCCACCCAGCTCCACATCCGGCTCATCACTGCCCACCACACCACTTGGGCGGTCACCTGCGTCACCTCAGCAGCAGGTACAACCATCTGGATCACCACCCAGATCCCCTCACTCTCAAGCATCCACTTCACCCAGGCCATCGCTGGGGACTTCAGCTGTGGGGGCACCTCAAACACCACCCCAAGGTTCTCTTTCAGCCTCCCCTGCTCAGCCACCTGTGGAGGAACTAGGCCCAGGACAGCCCCAAGGTATGGACCCTTCTGGTTTCTTACAGCTTTCTCATGCCTGGAGCCCCTCGACAAGTGAGCAGGACACCAGGGCTGATAACTGCTACTTTAGGGGTGCATGGGTGAAGTTTGCAGTGAGCTTCAGCGGCTCTGTCCATTATGAGGACAGGCTGCCACAAGGGGGCAGTATAAAGAACATTTGTTCGTTCCCTTGGTGCAGTGTTTCTCAAACTGCGGTGCCCCCACCAGCAGCAAAAGCATCACTCGGGAACTTGTGAGAAATTATAATCTCAGGAATCTCAGGTTCTACCGCAGCCGGACTAAATCACCAACTTTGGAGGTGGGGCCCAGCTGTCCTTTTTTTTTTTTTTTTTTT